TATCAAAACACCATCATAGTGTCAAGCTAGATCCTCAAATCATATGCCTAAAAAATCAGCCAAAATTAATCGCAAATTTACTGCGTTACCTGACACAATATTTTTTACCACATTTTGATATCTAGAAAGGTAACCAAATAGATGCAAAACTTATAAATATAATGAGAATTACCTTCTTTATAATGAGTTGTTTGGCTATATAGATGTAAAATCCTTTCTTACAAGTTTAATCAGGAAGTGCAGATCTTTGATAATAATGATTACAGGTATGTATTTGATTTGTTATAACAGCAGTGTAAAGTTCAGGTTCATATAAAGGATCTGAAATAGTTGATTATATAATATCATTGAATATTATAGATTCTATTGATGTAGTCCAATAGCAACTATGAGTATGTGTAATATCTCTATTTTAAAATTCAACTCGATCAAAGAAGTCTGTAATTTTTCCAAAATCTGTAAGTTTAAGTTTTTTTAAAGTTCTTTTTTTAAGGATTGGAATTTATGAATGAAATAGTTTATGCAATTAAAGGATTTATTTGTAAGTAAAGTTTCTCTATTATCACTATTAGAGAGTATATCTTAAAGGTGAGATTAAAGGTTTTTAACCATACTTAAGGTTATAAATAAGGTTAATAGTCCTGATTTTTTGATTATTGTGTTAAAATAAAGTTATTTTTAATAAAAATAAGTATCTCCAGTTCATATGAAAAAAGGAATAGAAATAGTTTTAGATTCATTAATTATATTATATAATAAATAGGTACTAGGTTAGAGTAGATCTTTTGCTGTTGATAAATTGTATCTATTATTAGGGTTAAATTGAGATTATCAAAGTAATCTTTAGGTATTTTAATAGTTTCTTAACTTTTCCAATTGTAGGTAAAACTATAAAAGCCAATGATGATAAAGTCTTTATCTAGAGTCTAAATTCATTAAGCGTAATTTAATATACTTTCCATAAGTTTCATCATGAGTTTCATTATTAGATTCAGATTAATTTAATATATTATGAAAGTGATCTTTTCCATTAGTGAAAAGATCTGAAAAAAGTAAAAGTTCTAAATTTAGATCATATTTTAAAATAGAGATCTTTAAATTATCTGCTTCTTAGATGAAACCTATTATTAATCTAGTATAATGAAAATCTTTATTGTATATTTCATCAGAAAGGTTATAGTTTAGTACTACTAAGTTATATGAGTTAACAGGAGGTAGATTAGGATTAGTTAGAATATGTTTAGCTTTCAGAAAAGGTTCATTTGTATATTATTATTAGGTATTAGTTAATAAGTTAACAAAAAGTTAAAGGTAGTGATTGTTTTAAGTTAATTAGATAGCAGCTCATTGTAGGATTGGGTCTTAGGTTGATTGTTCTGTTGAATTATTAGCAGTATTATCATTTAGTTCTAAAATAGCTCTGAGTATAAGGCATGTACTCTGATATTGTGAAAGTAACCTATAATTCTAATTAAATTTCTATATTTAGAATAGGGATTACTATTTAGATTTCTTCCTAAAGCATAGTGAAAATAAATGAGTGATAAGTATCTTCTTTTGTGTAAAAGAACAAAAGTGATTTCTTCTAGTACTAGTGAAAGGTAAGAATAAGAAAATCTTGTGAAGGGTTTTTTGTAAGATTCACAAATGGAAATCCTGTATTCAGGATTATAGTTAAGGTTAGGGTTAAATAATGTTAAAATATCAATATTTGGTATATGTCATTGTATTGAATAAGTGATCAAGAGATCATAGAATGACCAAGAAGCTTTTTAGGATATAGAAGCTTTTCGTAATATACAGGGCCATTGTTTTAAGATATTATTCTAAAATCAATCATATAACCTTTATAACTTAGATAACAATCTTCAATAGGATAGTTGTAGATCAATTTGATAGTTCAGATTCAGGTTTGAAATAAGATTGTTAAGGGTTGAGAATGATGTGAGATTTGAGTCAGATTAAAGGATGTGAAAATCTAAAGTTTCATAATCAGTATTGAAAAGATAGATATTATTTATTTAGTAAATTATAATAAGTAAAAAATTTTCTGTTCTTATCATTATTATTAAATTATAGTTAAGACGATTAATTTTTTTTTTTTTGAAGAAAAGGGTAAAGGCTTTTATATATTTTATTTATTAAGATTATCTTTTGTTTTTAAATATATCTCTTAATAATTTGATAGAGATTCTGATAGGATTTGATAAAATCAAGTGAAGAAAAATAAGTTAGATTCAATAGTTCAGATATGTATAAGAATATTTTTATTATTTCTGTATAGTCAAGATTTTTTATTAATAAAGAAAAATAAAGAAAATTTTTATTTGTTTTTAACAAGTTTTGACTTGAGATGGATAAGGGTTTCAAAGTAATTTAAATACAAAAATATAAAAAGAAAGAGTCTTCGAAATTTATATTTTAGTTTTTTTATTTAAGATATAATTTAGATACTATTTTTTATTTGCGTAAATAAAATGTTTTTATTAAAAAAAAAAATAATAGAGATAATATAATATATGTAGAGAAAAAGAAATAATATTTACATGTAAGAAAGATATAAGATTTAATATTTCTTTAAATTATTTATATAAACTTTTAACTATTTTATTTGATACTAAGTTTTAGTTAAATTTTTAATTTTTTTATTTAGTATCTAAAAAAAATTAATTCAGAAGTAGTTTAGGTATCATTAATGTTTGAAAGGTTTAATTTAGAGATTATTGATGTCAAAGATTTAATAAATTCTTTATGATAGAAAAAGAAGATAATATGTAAAATTTCTCTGCTAATTTGATAATTAAATATAATGAATATGTGAGAATTACCTAAAAATATAATATTTCAAAGGATCAGGTATTATAAATAAAAGTTATTTTTTAAAAGGATTATTATGCTTATTTTTGTGATTTTTACGATTCTTATTAATTTTGTAATTTTTATGGTAAAGAGTTAGCTTTAAACACTTCTATTAAAATTCAGTTATTTAGACTAGTAATAGTGATACTGCTTATTTATCCTAACATAGGATAGACTCTTTTAGGTGTATTTTTTTAGATTGTATAGCAAGTTATTTTGTTTAAACTACGTGTAGAATTAATAGATTGTTAGTTATTCTAGTAAAGAGTTATAGAGTAAGGATTCGTACGATTTTACGAGATAGTTGAGATTAAGGATAAATCTTTTAATTCTAAATATATTTTTCTGAAGTTTTTTCTGATGTGTCAGAGTTGGTAGTCAGAAATTTGTAAGTTATAAGATCTATTAGTATCACCATTTTAGATCTTATAATTTAGTTGATTCATTAGTTTTATTAATGAGATATGAATTATTTGACTTGTATCTTACTTCTAACCAATAATCTTTTGATTTTCTTTCTTCTAGTTTTTCTCTGTGAAAAATTCTAAAATGAAAATACTATTTAGAATTTTAACTGTTTATGTAGTAATATCTGAGATTACAATATTTAATCCTATGATAAAGAAATTGTCATAATTGAAATTTACAGGTTTAATTGAGATAACATTAACTTTTGAAAGGAGAGGGTAAAATTAGAAGGTGAATGAAATATAATGATAAGGAAAAGAAAGAAAAAAAAAATTTTTTTTGATACATATATTATAATAATTCTGACAAGCTACAAATTACCTTTCAGATAAATTATATTATCAGTTTAATCAATAATTTAGTAGTTAGATTAATTGGAAAAAATGCTTTAATTTAAAGAAATATAATTTTATTAAATCTTCTTTATTGAGTCTAATAATGCTGGTAATCTCTTTTATGATATATTCATTCATTTATCTTTCTAAATAATCATAAACATAATAAATAGTTATTATTTTAAAAGGTATAGTGAAGGTTTTTTTTTATAAGCAATAATGATTTCCTTTTTTTCACTTTAAAAAAGAGTAATTATAGGAAAAATGAAATTTTATATTTTTTATTATTAAATAGATTATGTAATCAAATACATAGGAAAATCATTAAAAAAATTTTTTTCTTCGCATTTTGGAATTGTGATTGGAAAAATCAAAAAGTTTTGAGATTATGAAAATTTTTTTTTATTTTTTTTTTACTTTAAAAAAAATAAAGGATAGGAAATTATTAGATCTTTTTGGGATTTATGATTAGGAAAAAAAACAAAATTTCAAATCTTCAAGTGAAAAAGATTGTATTTGGAGTTTCTGAAATTTTTTCATATAAATAAAGTATTTTTTATTTTTTCAAACTTAAGAAATCATATTATGTTCTTTTAGAAGGAAATTTAAAATATAAAGGTTATGAAAAAGTGATTTAAAAGGTTAAATTGATAAGATTTGATCATTTATATTAAAATGATTGAAAGTAATATTTAAAAGAAAGGGATCTGCTAGGGTGAAGAGTAGGCTTACTAGAATCTAGATATTAGGATTTGATTAAGTAATTGATTAGAAGTAATAGAAAGAAATTTACTTGAAGATCTAGAAAGAAAATCATAGGTATTTTTCTTCCTAAAATAGTTGAGTAGATTTCACTAAAAAAAGTATTTGTTATAAGTATTTTAAAAATCTTTATTCGTAAAATTTTATGAGATAAAATAACATAGTGAAATTTTTTTAAAAGATTATGAGATGTGACAATCCTTTTTATATTATTCTATTATAAAATATATATAAAAATTGTGAACCATATCGCATATACAGTACCTTTTTTTTCACTAAACTTTATCAAAAAAAATTTCACAAATATCAAAATAACCTTTCATTTGCTTTATTAATTGTAGAGATCAAAATAAATCTAGTTAATTTTAGAAGTTATTTAATAATTAAAAATAATAAAAAATCATTATTAACAAACTATATAGAGTTACATGTTTGAATTTCAATTTAGGTGAAAAATAAATATTAATTATTGTGATTTTATTTTATTTTTTTTTAATTATTCTTTTTGAATTTCTAACACTAATTAGCATTACTAATTACAGATTTTTTTCTATCATTGTTTCTATAAGTATATTTTCATTTATTACATCTATTTTCTCTTCCTCCTTCAGAACTTCTTTTTTCCTTTCCTTTCAAACTTATATCTTCTTCAGTAAGTGTCATAAAGTCTTTTTCTAATCAATTTAAAAATGATTTAATATTTGCCTAAATCCTTAGCAATAAGACTTCTATGCTTAGGATCGTTATTTTGTTGCAGCCGCCAATTACCTTGTAACATATTGCGCACTTCCGGGAGATGCTTATCCAATATTTCTGTATAAAATT